ATAATTCCCAAGGTATAAAATACTCAGGGTCAAGCAGTGGCACTAGGGAGGGGTTTTAGAGCCGTGGCTTCACACAGTTTAGAGCTGCATGTCTGAGAGCTTGGGGAAATCGGGGACATCCGGATACGTAGTCGCAGGGACCTTCTGGTACCACACACCCACTTCCTGCGTTGGGGAGACACTGTCAAGTGTCAAGAAGTTCATCCAAAGGCCTTGGATTAAGGCTAGTCAAGTGACCGGTGCCATCACAAATGGCATGACCCACTTTTCGGCATCCTCGCTGGGCCACAGGGGAGCTAGCGGTTTGTGGTACTTTCAAAGATAGGCTCTGTGACTGGCAGCAGTTGCAGATCTGATCTCAACAAGTAACTGAAACGCTGACCTTCTGGACTTTCAGCCATAATTACTGTCCACCATAATCCTGAAGCACTACGAAAAGGTCCGTTGGTAGCTATAGGTAAGGCTGGTACCTGAACAATGCCTGCAACTCGACAGTAACTGAACCATAGTTACCATGCTTCTAGCTTCAGTTTGAGCACAGCTTCACATGCTACACCTTATGCCTGAGTCTGTCTTGCAAACCAATATTCAAAAGACGAAGCTCTAAGCCCCCGCCAAACCCTTGCAAGTCTTGTGTATAGATGGAAGTTTCAGATTGAAATCTCGCAATTTGTTGCGGATATCTCTTGCATTGTATCTCCGTCAGGCATAGCATTCGGACACTTAATGGACTACGTTGCATCGCACTAACTAGCATCTGCTTGAGCACAGCGCTAACTTTTGAGGCAAAAGTTCTCATCAGAACATCGCTCTCCAACCCTGGGCCCTAGGAAAAAGAACATTGTCCTTCAATGCCCAGACCCCCAACCCAAAACCATAGAGCCCCTTCGCTTGCAGCTAAACGAATGGCAAATGTCCTCATCGTAGCCCAAAGCGCTGATACTGCCGAAATCCTTGGGCCCAGGGTGCCGCGAGCGTGCTGGTGAAAGATGCTGGGTATTCTCCCTCGAAAGAGGAGAAGCAGACCCCCCGCAAGTAATCTATACAACCACATGGCAACAGTACGGCGGACGACATCTTCATCAGTCTTTGACTTGCAAGTAAGGCCTTCACCACAAGTGAAATCCTGGAGCATCGAGAATGCTCAGAAGCCCTGTACTGACGAGTGGCTTGAGGAGTCATATGAGCTATGGTCCAAACTCTTCGTATCCCCCTTGATAA